CCGACTGGACAATGGATCAGCTGAAGCTAGAATGTACAGCACGCAAGCTTTGTGTCGCCAAAAAGACCAACAAAGCTGATCGGGTAACTATACAGAAGGGATACGACGGGTCCAAGTCGGGTATGGAGGTTTTACTCGAGAGCCAATGGCTGGACAAACGCGGTCGATCCAGTAGCGAAACTAATGTAGAGCGACGCTCAAAACACTATCCGTATCGGTTGCTCAACGTTCTGTTTTCGAGGGGTTTTTTCGACAGGTTTATCACATCTGGCGATGTCCTAACTCGGGCTGAGTTAGACGAAGGTGGACGGGTCTTCTGGAGCACTGTTTCTGAAGCGTTCAATACAAGCAATGCTGTATTTGACCGCATAGTAAGCGACGACTCGCTCTTTGAAGGCATCGATCCGGTTCAAGTAGTCGTCCAATCGGCCGCTAAGTTGAAGTCTATCTGGAAGGAATGCAGCAGTCGGCTCGCTGCTGTCAAAGAAAGATGCAAGCGTTCTGGATCCCATTCACAATTTTGGGACTACTGTTAAGGGTATAAAGTTGCTATGTGTGTGCACCTTTGGTGCGAGCAACGTGGATCTGGCCGCGAATTTTGTGCGGCGAGTGTCTACCAGGAAAACGAAGATGATGAATCTAACGAATCGCAGCCTACTGCTATAACAAACAATCGAACAACCAAGCGAAAACGCCACAAAAACGATGATCGTCGAAGTAGCCTCGATTCTGTTGTCGATCTGACGAAAGTAGTAACAAAATTGGTCGAAGCAGAAATGACAAGTATGAATTCAGAGCTTACTGCAGAAAAATTTGCTGTAGCTCGTTTAAAACGGGAAAAGATAGAGAGAGACGTTGTAGTTGAAAAACTCGCGGCTGTGAATGGGATGTTGATCCGTCAACGACAATCACTCTCGCTGTTGGACATGCAAATACATGAAAGAAATACGAAGGGAATGGACAATACCGATATTATGCAGCAAAGAGAAGCTGTTTTTTAGCTTTTACAATCCATTCAAAAGAAAATCGGAAGAGATTCAAGATCATATTATGGATAACTAGAATGAAATACATTATTTTCTGGTAGATGCCGGTCTTGACAGGTTGTATGTCTGGATATGCTCGAGTATTACGTTGCGAAGTATGTGGCCATTCTGAATTGCCTCTGTGAGACTTTCTTCTACAGTTGGCGTAAAACCACAATCCTCTAAAGCGTTGTATTCCCGCACAGCTGCACTAGTAAAACCTCCACTTTCCGGGTCTTGAATACGCTCATCGATGCAGTAGTTGTGAAGTTTCATACAGGTCTTTATAACAAGCCCTGTATGCATGAAATCAACGGCTAATGGCCTCTTAAGTATGTGCCATTTGTTGACCAGAAGTCCAAAAGCCATCTCAATACGAATGCGCAGCTGAGAAATATAAAAATTGTAATCTGAATATGCTCTTGACTTCATTTCAGGCTTTGTGAATGACACTAGTGCTGTAGAGTGCAACGTGTATGCGTTATCACCAATTATGTAATATCCAAACGGTAATGTAGCGATTGCTACACTTAAGGGCAACTTCTTAAAAGCAACACTGTCAGCCACTTTTCCAGGAGAATTGAGACATAACCCGTGAGCCGACAAGCAGCATCGCACATAGCTTGAACAGTAATGCCATAGCACAAATAGTGTCCAGAAAGAAAGGGAAGAACATCGGGAACCTCCCTAGCGCTCGGGGCTTTAATCTTGCAAAGCCACCCGTCCACACAACCAACGCACCCAGTCAATATGTTGTCCTTGCTGATATCTGCAAACTGCGAAGCTGCACGCAGTATCGATTCATTATCGTAGACAGGGGCTGTTATATGATACCGAGGGTACGCACATATAGCCTCCATGACTTCCATGACGCTTGAGTAGAACTCCGATGTACTAACTCCCGCAAGAGACCGAATGGAATGGAATGAGCCCCCTGCTAGCCATGATATGGTCATCTGCACTTTATTAACAGGAGTGACGGGCGCGATACCGGTTCTGTTTCTCGATTTAGCACCGTCGCACTCAAGCATAGACTTGAGAGTCTCTACCAGCTCCTCGAATGCCACAACTCCCATCCTATAGTAGCGCCTGAACTGGCCTTCTTGAAGCAAACGATCGCGGTAGGCTTCCAGGTCAAGACGCTTTCTCGGAACGACTTGAGCTCGGCGTCGTCGATATTCATTAGCTGCAATAAGAGCGGCCGCGCATACTACAAGCCTTGATATTTTCATTTGTTGGATGTGTGAGCTGTGATCTCATATGAGGGCATGATCCCGACTTGGGGTCATCGGAGCATTTTGGAAATCACATGTTTATTTTTATTATCCAATCAAGTTTCAGATGATGGGATGAAGATGATCCCGCTAGGAACGGGCCTTTTACTAATTATAAATTGTGTACTTGCATGTAACAAAAAATGTAATAGGTAGTGTATACTACAAAAGATAGCAACCAAAACATAAAAGATTTTTAGAATAATACTACGCAAAAGTTTGGAGCAAAATAATACAAAAGTACTACGACGCAAATAAGTCATATTTTAATCGATAAGTATTAAAGCTCCAACGTAAGCCGAAAAAAAGTCATCAAGGTCTACAATTTTTTTCAGCAGCTCCTACAGTGCGATGATAAAGTACGCGTGTGCACATCGGCGCCGCCTACTAATGCTAACTAATGCGCACACAGGGTGTGCCCTTCGCGTTAGTGGTGCGTCGCGATTGAAAATGTCGGCAACATGACATTTTAACGGTGCATTTTACAAATATAAGTAATTGAGGCCGCCTCGGCAGGTTTTTAGCTACGGCTCCTATGAACATAACGGTATTTGAAGAGCTTCACTATGAGACCGGGAGATTTGGGACGAGTCGTAAAGTGGAGAAATCCAACTAGATCAATCAAAGCAGAAAATGCCGGAGAAGACAGCGTCACTGCTGACGAGACTGAGCCGGTGGAAGTGGTGGATGATGCCGGCCAAGAGGTGGTTGTTCTCGGTAGTCGGAACCACACGCTTGGACAATTGCTGAGTGAAGTTTGGCTTGCTTCTCCTGTGGAGTTCCACCGACAGTTCCCTAATCTATTGGGTAGCGTTGACTTAACCGCATCTTGTCCTAAGAACTTGACTACAGCGTCGAGCACCCGACAGGTTCGAGTCTGTTACCATAGCCTCCGAACTAGTAATGGAGCAATGGAGTGGATACCGATCGAGAAAATGAGGAAGCGGCTTCGTTCGCCACGCACATCACGACTACAAGCTCGTACCAAGAAGCGGCAGGAACGTGAAGGTGAAGAGAGTAGGAACGAGCAAAGTGGAGGAGATGAAAGCGAAGTCGAGGTTGAAGAGCAGCTTCAAGGTAGTCGCAGCGAGATGAATGTAAAGTTCGGCGACCTCCGCCTCGATAACCGAAGCGAAGTTGCTAGCGGGTCTGCGCGACTTCATGAGCTGTTAATCGAGCAAAAACGTACAGGTCATGGCGACATGGGTTGGCCGTCACAAGGCCCTGAGTTGCACTGGCGAATGGCTCTAGATAAGGGGGATATATTGGACGCATTGGATACGTCTCGAGCGTGGTTTGAGGCACGTGTTCTCGCTGCTCGACGGAATAAAATCAACGTACACTACCGGAGCTGGGAGACGAAATGGGACGAGTGGATCCCCCGTACTTCCCCCCGACTCGCACCGTCGTACTCTCGAGTGCCGAGGTGGCGCAGTGCGCTTCGCCCACACTCGTTGGTACAGGTCGGCATTGAAGTGCCACGACTAAAGCATACAAAATGGCGCAACGCCACTGTCATTGAGGTAGTTCCGAGCACCGACGTTGACACACAAGGAGAGAGTGATGGTGTCGGCCTTCGAGTGCACATACAGGTCGATGACGACGACATGTGGCTGCCGGCACACGACGACTTGTTGTGTCGGTCCAACACGTCGAGTCCACTAACGAAACGAGAGCGTCAAATGCTCTCTTATGACAATTCACTGGACATTAACTCTGCAGAAGAGCGACACGTCGATAGTGGCGGAGAGCAAGTGGCTTATGAATGCGACGGTGATGATGAAGAAAGGGCCGGTGTGACTCTAATCGACCACGAGGGCTCGAGATCTCCACCACCGACGGCGACCAAGGTAGCGGTAACGACAACGGCAAGCCGAGCCGCGCGGAGTCTGAACACAAGCTTTAGTGAGGTTGAAGACCGAGGGCGGTCGTCGGCTGGACGTACACCTGGAGGACGTGGGAGCCGCGGCCAGTCGCAAGTCTCCAGCAACGAAACCTCCCCTGAGATAGCATCCCCAGATTCACCAAGTATTGCTCGACCAAGCACCCCTGGATTGCAAACACTATGGGCACAAGTGGGCCGTGACTTGCAGTCGTTGCAGACGAGCTGGACTCAGTTGGGCGAAGGTCTCTTTGCTGCGGTGGATGAACGTGAACACGAGGAGAACTAAGGTATGATGTTGGAACGAGTCTAGCAGACCACACCCGCCATTTTATGGTTGAAGGATTTTAGCGTTCATTTTCACCGAAGTGCAATTTGTTCTTTACTTCTGTTCATTTTAGAGCTTAAAGACTTGAAATTGTATGAGAACTTTGTTGAGCAACATAACGTCAAAGGACGCTGACCACTTGCGACTCGTTAACCCAAAGCGAACACTCAACCAACTCTACCGTGTAATTTGTTGGACGCGTTTACTGGTGCATGAACTGACCTCAGTGTCATGTTCGACTCGACGGAATTTGCAGCAACGGTGGAATCCAAACTGCTGTCGCCACTGGCGACTCGCGACTCGCCACAGCTTTCGCTGCACGTCCTCAGGTGAACCACGTTGGTGGGACTGTCAAGTCATCACAGTGTCAACTCGCGGCCTCTACAAGTATGGAGTGTCTTTCGGGTGGCGCAATCCCCCACCTCTACACTGTAGAGTCTACAGTCGTTTTGGTGGAGATAGCCTAAAGCGCCGACCGAGTTGCTACACTCTCACCACTGGACAGTCGAGCTGTGAAGTCCGCAACTGTGGCCGGGGCGACGACATGGAATGGCAATCACGCCGCTTGATTGTTGTTGCAATTGGTCGCCACCGGGAGATTGCTGCCCACAGAGCGTCCAATGCTTTGGGTGGATCGCGACGCTGAAGCAGGCTACTTTAGTTGAAGCTGTTTCTGGCTCCACTTCGCTGTCTGCGTTGTTGATCATGCGCGTTGCCGATGACAGCTTGGCAGCGCCATCAAGTCGATCGGAGCCTAATGGAGGCATCTGCTACGCCGGACGCGCGATGTGGCTACAATTGAAGAAAAATGACAGCGAGGAGCCGGACCACGATAGCACTAGTCGACCAGTTTTTTTTAAGCTGACAAGGTTGACAACGTGAAGGTTATCGACGATACCTTGTCGTCCATCTTTGAATGGAATTTTCAGTGAGCGGAAGCGGTGCTGCCAGCTTCGTCCACAGGCAGGCTGGTCCTGGGAAGAACTGCTTGCGAGCCGGAGTCTCCGGCGGAGATCGCAGGTTGCAGCAAGCCTGGCTCATCAATACCTTGCAACTTCAAACACGATCCGGCAGGACTTCAACGGCAACTGCTGTACACGTACATACGTGCGTATGTAGTTGCAACACAACTTGTCGGCGACAAGTTGTCGGACAAGGCTTGTCGTGTCACAAGCTCCTTGATCGAGTCGGCGCGCGCTTTAGACTTGCGGCGTAACTTGAGCGTGCCACATCTTGCTCAAATCCAACGCGGTATTCTCCGTCATCGACCGCTTTGTCCTGGTCCTCAAGAGCGTGGGTGCACGCGACTTGAAGCCCCAAGCATTACTGCCTGGGGGACGCCGTTTTGTGTACGATCAAGCGTGACAGCTCTTTTCGTTCGTGGGCGAGGCGGAGGCAGAGCATGCATGCAGATGGTTCAAGTCCGGGATCAACCTGCCTGCATTATTCCTGCTTCAATGTCGTTCTTATTCTCCCGTCATACTTTGGGCTGCCTCATACGCATGGAGCTGCGTGTGCTTCACCAATCAAGCGTGGTTGACGCTACTGTATCCAGACGGCTCCGAGTCGGCTCGATGCCAGCTGAAGCCAGCCAGACAAGGCACCACTGAGCTCTGCGATACACGACGGTGCGGCAATTCTGTGCTACAGACCGCGGGGCACCTGATTCCCAAAGCAGCGTCTAAACGGATTAGAGGCGGCCTGACGCCAGAGATTGTTGAGAAGAAGGTCGGTCATTCACACAGTGAGTATACATGTACCGGTACCTCCTGCTCATGTCTCGAGTTGCTTGCAGAGATGGCTCGTTCGCACCTCCACCCAATAATGTCGTGGTGTGACGGATCCTACTCTGACGAAAAGTCCCGAGGCGCTTCGCTATAGCTGGGGCGCCACTTGACCATGGCCAGTCGTAAGCAAGCGCTTGCGCGCGCAAGGAAAGGCCGTGCGATTTGCCTGACAACGTCCGTCCCACGCGGCCCACAATCAACTCAAATTGCAACTTTGTGAGGACGCTTTTTATATTGCGAAGATCGCTCGGTCTCAGCAGTACCTTATCCTATTATACATGTAGTGTGGACAATGAACTTGCCATCTTCAGCCGCCGCTGATGCGAGACTGACTGCATCTGGCCACGAAACGCGACGAGAACGACGCTGTCCAACGTCTCGATGCCAGCGCTGGACACAAATGTAAGCTTGACTCGAGCCTGCGCTTCAGCATGGTATCATTTCCGCGGCGCGACTAAGACCGTAGATAAAACCGCTGGGTGCGCACCCGTGACAATAAGTCCAGCATCGCACTGGCATCACGACGCCAAGCTGCGAGTTAACAGCGCCACAACACCATCAGAACCGCCAAGCGCGTCGCGGCCAAGCTTCTACGACTCGTGAGGCATGTGACTATCCTTGCGAGTCTCTAGCGTTGCCACGGACGGCAGAGCCGTGAACGACGGCTGACTTCGGCGTCCAGTTAGCTTCAACGCGATAGTAGCAGTGGCATCCTCACACGTATCCTCTCAATCCTCTCAGTAGGTTCTGGTTTGTGGTGGACTACATTTTTTCTGGTGATTCTCTGCAGCTCTTTGTTGCCGAAAAGCTGAAGTCTGTGTCGTCACGACCACGTTGTACGCCTGGCAACAGGTTTGCCAGGTGAAATGTTGGCAAGTTTTGGACCAGCTCGTCCTGGAATCTGAAGGCCTGCATAACAGTTGGAACCGGTTCGTCAACGAGGCGAAGTGAGGCAGGCACGACCGTCGGTGTTGAGCTGTCGCGCGGTGGCTTTCAAAGAAGATTGGCGTGCATAAGTCTTCCAAACCGGGGGCGTGAGACTTTTCCAACGTAGAAGAGGCTGCACCAGAGACTGTATCTGCTTGCTCCGAGTTGTGTCCTGCCTTCCGGTTTGCAAGCTGTTTGTCCCCTCCAGTCCGTACGTGCCGCTGCGGCCCGCTATGCCCGCCTTCGAACAAGATGCATGGATTCCTTCAAACAGCAGCTCTTAATTTGAACATTGCACACGAAGATGCCCAGCTTGGCATTGCTCCAATCGGCGGGTCAATTTGTCCTTCAACTGGTGAATTTCACCACGCTGGGCTGGTAGCGGCTTTGCTAAACCCAAGGAGGAACACATGACAGTCAGCGTCAAGTGCCCGCCAGTGGCGGCGCCACCGTCTTTTGCACATCAAATGCGCCGTGACACCATCCTCAATGATCAAGTGGCCTTACATACATCGAGACGACAGTGGTCAGCTTCTTCTGCACGCGCGCAGGTGGGTGAAAGATAGGCTCGAGTCGACAGTGAGTCCGGGAAGAGATTGGCACTGGCGAGGGAGGAGCACCGTGTCATTTCAACTCGCGACCCAAAGCTCATTTGCCAATTGGACGAGTCTCGAGTAACTCGAGTGCTAATAAACACTAGACGTTGCTTCAAGATGCCGCTGACCCACCTGCCGTCGCTCCAGTACCAGCACCTCGCCGTGCTACCACCGCTGCGTGCGTCGCACCATACTGCTTATAGCAACCAACTCAACCAGCATTTCCCACTGCATCAGCAAGCGCTGTACTCGCCACAGAACTTGCACTCGGTGCAGCAGGCGCAGCAAACAGCCGTACAGCTGCCGCCGGCGCCGGCGCCCATGCCGGCAGTCACCACAGTCGACCTTAGTCTGACCGGCCCGTTGCGGCGCGGCAAATGGACGCGAGCCGAGGAGGACTACGCCGCAGCAACAATCTCGTACTTTTGCGACGGCCTCTTGGCCATCCAGTACGGCACTACCCTCCGCGGGTACTTGGCACAACAGCTTCACTGCGATCCCATGCGGATCTCTAAAAAGCTGCTACCTGGCTCGGTCTTCGCCGGCATCAAGATCAACCCCAAGATTGGCCGACGAGCCTACTACCCGTGCGCACAGGACTCTCCTGCTGCCGCGCACTCCAAGGAGAACGCTGCTCGCCACCTCACTAATCTGCGCCAAGCCTTTATCCAGAGCATTGAGGAAGAAGAACAGACACTTGATACTATCAGCAACGCCGCTGCAAAGAGCAGCCCCAAGACGTCCAGCCCCAAGCCCACGGCCTCTATTGGCCGTAAACGCAGCTACGACGACATCAATAGTGTCGTGCGCGCTCAGCAAACCATCCAGGCGTCCGTAGAGCTCACGGAGCCTCAGATCTTCTACCACTTCCAGAACCCGGCCCAGCCGGTGCCGGTACTCTTCAACTCGCGGTACTCCGCAGCAGCAAATGTTGCTGTCGCTTCAACCACGGCAACTACTTCCGTGATGTGCAAGCTACCCAAGCTGACCATCACGGACGATGTGTCTCGCCGCGAGTCCTACTCGACCCAACAGCGCAGTGTATCACCCGTGACAGTTGCCACGTCAACGGCAGTGCTGCCACCACTACGCGTCTCGCTAGTGCGAGCCTCCAGGTGCTAGAGGAAACCAAGTGTGCATGCCGTTTTAGTATTGAAGGAAGATAAGTTAGCGACACGAAGTAGTGTAGTGATGAATTAAGTGCGTGGCATTCAAAGACCAACGAATTAAGGATAAAAGCTCTGTAGAAGCGAGCGTTCAACACCAACCAGTGTCTTGCGTTTCGGTTGCGTTTCTACAGGCACGGTAACTGCGTGCGATCGATTCAAATGACTACCGTAGCGATTACGAGTCATCCGATCCACTCCGTGCAAGCCTCAACTCGTCTTCATCAACGTGATAAAGAATCAAGACCGCCCATTACATGTACAGCCGCGGCCAGCGTGGCGTGCCGAATCAGCTTCAATGTACAGGTAAACGCAACCACCGCAACGCCGCGGACAACGAGCCGCCGTCATCTGAAGATCGAAAGCTAGAAACACTGAGCGGGGCACGTGCATCGAAACATGCCGGTGGCGTGCCGTGCCGCAGCTCCAGGTGGTCTCGCAAATGAGAGGAGACGGCGCACGTGCGTCGATATGAAACGCTGTACATGTTTTGATTCGTTTTGGAAAGACCTACACAGTTTGGAGCAACGTCTACCAGGTCAAGTCGTGCAGATGCATGACGTGCATTCGTGGACCGACTATCATGAAGTAGTCAGAGCCCGACTTGCACTTTGTCTTCCGAGTCGACCGGCCGGCTTGACTTGACGCCTCGCTAGTCGTCCGCAGGGAAGGCTGGGATGGTCACACTGCCTTTGCCGCACGAGTCTTCCGAGTGGATATGCGCCGGACAGGCGCGTCGCTGGGTCGGCACGTTATTCGCGTCCTTCTGCCAGCAGGTGAAGACTTGCGAGAACATGGTAACGCGCTTGGAGTGCTGGCATTTAAGTGCCGCGTCACCGAACGCCTCACGCAGATTCTTGACGTCCACCTGTCGACCGGCATTGTCCTGCACGAACTGTGGCGTGGGCGCGAGCGTCTCGTTGCGCTCGAGGTTAATGGCGTGTGTGAAGTAGTCGACCTGTTTGAGTCCCGAACATGTGCCGTGACGGGTCCATTCATGCTTCCAGAAGTCCGCGTACTGTGGAGACGCCTCACTGAACTTGACATCAGGCCAGTATTGGTGTAGCGTGTCGATGCCAAGCTCGCGCTCGATGCGGCCGGCGTCGAACGCCTCGCCCGAACAGAAGCTGGGCGGCGCGCTGCCCGACAGCTCAGGCCACAGCCCGTGCAGGGTTAGATGGGAGCGCCAATAGCTCTGCGGTGCGCGACAGCCTGGATACTCCTGCTCCTTGCCGAAGCAGAAGGCTGGCTGCCAGCTCTGCGCCAGAATGTACATGTCGAAGGCGCCCGGCGGCTTCGGCGCTAAGTCGGAGACTGTCGCGTCGAACACCGAGACACGATGGGGCTCGTCACCTGATGAGGAGGCGACAACGCTTAAGAGGGACGCCGTCGCGGCAGTTAAACGAAGGAAGAAGGACACCTGCATTACAAGAAAGAGAAGATCTAGCGGATTGATCTGAAGTCGCTGTGTAGCCATTTTGCCGATGGGTTCGCTACAAAAGGTAGCCATGCTCGTCTTGCCTTAAATAAAACTACAGTATACAGTACTGCACCCCGTTTTTGCGGGGGTAAACCATATAGGATTTGCAAGTAAATAATATTTCAGCTTTCAAGCTTCAGTTCATTTAATTTAGTATCATCACATCCGGAAGTTTATCAAAGGTCCAAGGGCGCGAAAACGGGGTGCAGTACTGTAATGGTGTGATTCGACAAATGACGCTTCTGAAAACTTAAAAAAATCACATTTATTGTAAAGCTCCACTTTTTTTAAATTCAAAACTATTGTAAATATGATATAATGGGCGTATTTTGCCCGAATGGGGGCTGTCTTCAAACCAGCACCTAGCTGATCTTTTGCTCCTCTCCGATGTGCTGCTTTTTTTCACATCCGTCGAGCGTATAGCGTATACCTGCTAAATACCAAAGCCTCTCACAACCACAAATCCTCCCTCCAGTCAAAACGCGCGGCACCAGCGGGAGGAATATAACGGCGCAGGCACGTAGCGCGCAAAAGCGCCCACTGGGAGCTGCGGACGAGAGTGACAGCAGCGAGGGGAATGAGTCAAGCGGATTCTTGAGTGAGTGGCAGCCGTCTCCAGGTCCCAATGGGCCCGAGATGCTCGGCACATCTAGTAGCGCGAGTGATGGAGCTGGACAACAGCTTGTTATCACTCCACCCCCTTAACAGACCCAATTCGAGTCGTGAAAAGCTTTTGAGGACTATCTCAGGGTGTACCAAGCGCAATCGTTCCAGGTAACTTTGCACATTTAACAGCCATCTTTACAGCGAAATTCTACTCACTATATTTTGTAGATCTTTCGGATGCGGACAAACACCACTGCGGCTGATCGAAACGCCAAAATGGGCGTACAGAGATCATAGACACCTCGAATTTCCGTTGAGTGGGTACAGTATGCTCGGACTTTTGTTTGTTCTCATCAAGGCAAATATTTCTCGACAGCGACTAGCAAACAACCACGGCAAGAAGCTTGAGCCTAACGCTGTAATGCTCAGGTAAGACCTTGGCTTAACCCCCCAACGCCCAACGGTTGTACGTACAGCAGAAATCATGTTGTACGTACAACATATTAAAAGTTGGGCTATTTTGTTGCAAAAGATGGGCAAACTTGAGAATGCACAGGGCTGGGGTTGTTGAAATCAGTCTCTTTGGCAATAAACAATACAGATTCTCCCCTTGGTTGGTGGCTGAAAGCTCATTTCGAGAAAAGACCTGAAGGGGAGACACGTGTGCACGATGGCCCCGCCTCGAGAAACACGCCGCGAGCGCCAGCAGTTCCTGCAACGTCTGGATGGCCGAACTGCGCACGACCGAGAGCGCATCAGGAAGCAGCATGCGGCGTACCTGGCATGCGAACGAGAGGAGGATGCTGACTTCGGAGACGATCCAGCACCTACCCGCAGCGCGACAGCTCGCCCTCTGCTTTTGGCTCCGATCGGCAAAGATGCCTCTTACATGCGTGCGCAGCGACGTTTGATCTCGCAGCAGCAACGTGCTGTCGCCGCAAAGACGTTGGCAGGCTCCGGCAAGAAACGGTTGGCTGCTACTAGGGACTTGAGCGACGATGATACAAACTATGATCCTGATCTGTTCGACGAGGAAGCGGATGCTGATGCAGACGATGAGCGACTGGATGCAGCAGACTCCCCAGTCAAGACACGGCCGCCAAAGAAGAAGAAGCAGAAGACGGCTGCGGCGACTCCGACCAAGAAGGCGACCCCGACCAAGAAGGCGACCCCGATCAAGAAGCCACGAAAACCCACCGCGTCGCAAGTTGCTAAAGCAGCGGCAAAAGCAGCGAGGACAGCAGCTGCCGAATCGCGCTGTGAAGATTCGGCGAATGCCGAGGAACAAGGGAGCATCGCTTGGGCCGAGGCCAGGAAGAGATTGGAGGCGATTGCTGAAGCGAACAAGAAGAGGAGCCGCCAACCAAGTGAAACACCTGAGAGGTACACCATGTTTTATGCTGTCAGATACTACATGTTCTCACGAAGTGTTGCTGTACGTTGCGCAGGTACATACATCATTTGGGACATACAGCATGGATACAGCGTCGCTATGCTTTCCCTACAACGTTGTTATCGACAACATGTATACAACATGAACAGCAGCAACCATATATTGTCTATCGACAGGGGTTCCACCGATCCTCAAGATACGTCAGAAGCACCATCGCCTCGAACGTTGTCTGCAGCGCCTGCGCCACCCCCGACTCCTGAATGCCCAGCTCCTGAATGTCTAGCTCCTGAATGTCCAGTTGCAGCACCAGAAGACGATTGATACGTGGCAAAGTCTTTGATGCTGATTATGTATCTATCCCACGGGGGACGTTCAACGATTTTTTGCCGCGAAACCGCTTTGAACACATCATGGGAAATCCTCACTTCACCAACAACGCAGACACGAGAGCAGCCACTGACCGCGCCTGGAAAGTAAGGTCTATCGTTGAAACCCTGCAAGAAACGTTTCCGTTGGGTTACAAAACGCCGCCGATCATATCATTTGATGAGGGCGTTCTACCTCTGAAGAACCGGAACAATTCTACGCGTCAATATCTCAAGGCGAAGCCTCATCAGTGGGGCATAAAGCTTTTTCTGACGTGTTGTGCAGACACTTCCTACTGTATGAGGTGAGATGACTGCGAGTCTTTGCGGACTCGCAGTTTTTTGTTTTGACCAAGTCTATCATGTTGTATTTAATGTTGTATGCTTGTATGCTGTATCCTACAACAAGAAGACTTGAGGTGTATTGTGGCAAAGCGCAGCAGGTCCATGAAGTAGGCAACGTTCCAGACAGTCAGCGATCTGCAGATCCAAACACCGGGCCGTCAGCAGTTATCCGAAACCTGGAATCTGTCCTGCCACCACCCGAAGATGACGTCTATCACATTGTAGTGACGGATCGATTTTATACGTCAGTTCAAGTGGCGTTTCAACTACTACACAGGAATGTCTACAGTATCGGCACGATAATGGGCGACAAAGTGGGCTATCCTCAGCAAATTGTTGAAAAAAATCGAGACCGACCCAAAAGCATACCGCACGGTACAACAAGAATGGCAGTGGCAAAAGCTTGCCCCCTAATGACGGCTCTAGTGTGGTGGGATAGAAAACCCGTGCAATTCCTGGAGACTGGATCGAGCCGTGCGATGGAGGAGTGTCGTACGTATATGCAAGAGGAGTGCTGTTTCCTATTCATCTAATCTATGTTGTGCTTGTTATCAGAGAGGCGTACACGTGGAACACACGGCAGACGGACTGATGTCCCTTGTCCTGCTATGATTCAAAACTATCACAAATGGATGGGGGGGCGTGGATGTCCATGACCAGCGGCGCCTCCAGCGTTACTTGTTGCAGCTGCAGACTTGGTGCAAGAAATAATACAAGTCCATATTCTTGGGGCTTGTGGATGTGGCGATTGTGAATGCGTATATCATCTTTCGTGAGGCACAGAAGCGAAATGGTGGGTCTCCAATGTCGCACGCAGAATTCCTAGTGGAGCTTCATGCCCAGCTGCTTGCTCTGACCAAGTACGACTTCGATGAAAGTGTAAGTCCTGATGTTGTATCTGTATCATGTTGGATAATGCTGACATGTTGTATGACCCACATGTTGTATGTTGACAGCCAAGACCACAAGAGACCGCAGCTGGCGACGAGCTTCCACCCTTGCCACCTGGCCACGCACCTCGGGAATGTCCTGAGTACCAGATCGTGAGGCGTGCGCAAGCGCCGGCAGCGCCAATGCAAAGTGTGCGCAATTCTGAAGCGCCGGTAGGGAAAGCGTCGAGCCACCAAATACTATTGCGATGCCTGCAGCACTTCTGATAAAGCTAGGTACGTACGAGTTCGATATGGCTGAAACGACTACTAACTGTTGCTCGTTATGTACAGCATGTATCTGTGTACTCGTATTTGGCCGCACCACTATCCTGGCAGCGCTCTGAGCTGCCACCAGATCTGGCATCACAAGTGGGCAAATGGAGCAAAATGCCCCAGGGCGCGATGTGGACGAGGATTCCAGAATCGCGAGGCTGGAGGAAAGGGTAAGCGCCGCCGCCGAAGTAGTGATGGAGAGGAGGATGAAGGTATTAGCGAGGGGAGCGACAGCGACAGCGTAGCGCACGACGACGACAGGGAAGGTAGCGAGACTGAGTGAGCCGATAACTGGTGGTGGATGAACGTAGTACTGCAATATTTGCTTTTTCTTACTGTATTCAATTGATGTGTGTTTGGTTTCGCTTTTCGTTGTCTTCAAACTCCCCAGCTTTGCACCGGTTTGATAGGCTTCGTACTGTCTCTTGATAAAAGACACATCGACACCTTTTTTTTAAACCCCCATCATGCTGGATGTACGCCATATTCAAGTAGTCTGCCGGTGTATATACAACTTTGATCTGGTGTACATACAACATGGTGACGGAATTTGCAGAAATTGTCTTGTTGTGCATGTACAAGAAAGGTGCTCGGAATTATACGAGACTATATTAAAGTCAAGTGTTGCACGGTTTTACATGCTGGATGAGTACTATGCTGGATGATTTGAAATAACGTCAAAAAACGGCTTGGGCGTTGGGGGGGGGTTAACGCTCCAAAACACTCTCATTTTGGCTGAATCGGGCAATTTCTGTCTGAGTAGGGCTATTTCTGTATAAGTCGGTCAAGTTTCGGCTCAGTTGGGCATGCTGGGAATTGGTTGTCATCGTTTGAAATCATAATCATTGCACTAAGAACTAATGACTCATCTCGTGTCTTTAACGTCCCACATATCAATACGTGCCTCCAAGTGGTCAACAAAGTTTCGAAGAGGTTTGCTGTCAAGATAACGAAGTGTCGTCTGGAGCATAACCACAGGCTATCTGAATATGCATTCACGGGGCACTCGTCTACTCGCGTTTTCATCCCCAACAATACCTTGCAAACCATCGATGAACTCC